TCTCTCTCTCTCTCTCTCTCTCTCTCTCTCTCTCTCTCTCTCTCTCTCTCTCTCTCTTCTCCTTCTTTCTTTTCATTTTTTGAACCCAGGTCACTACGTTATTCTGAATTGCCTGGAATTCTTCATATAGCCTATGCTGGCCAGAAACCACCTAGCACAGCCTCCTGGGTGCCAGGAATACAGGCATGTGCCTCAGCCCAGCTCCAAGAGTACACATCTTCCTTTGACCCTTTAATCTGCCACCTTCTCTTGTTAATGAACACAAAGGACCATTTTCAAGACGTCTTTTTTTTGGAGCTGGGGATGGAACTCAGAACCTTATGCTGGCGAGGCAGGTGGCAGAACCACTGAGCTAAATCCCCGGCCCCAGGGATATGCCCTGATGTATATTCTCTGCTCCAGGCTCCAGAAGTACATACTCGGTTTTGAGAAATCCTAGAAAGAGGCCCACCCAGTTATTTCTTTTCTCTCCTGTCACTCTGCATGGGTCCTCAAACACACCCTGCAATTCAGCCTCACACTGCAGACCAGGGCCCCGGTCCTTAAGGGGTCTAGACTCACCTCTACTCTTCCCTCCTCCCTTCACCCACACGAACACAAAGCCACAGGCAGTGAATGAGGGAAAAATTTTATTCATGTCATACGATTTGAAAGAGACAAACCTCAGGACAGATTTACACAGCTGGAAGAGGTCTTAAGCATACTGCTAATGCCCTGTGGGAAGTCCTTTCTCCGGGCAAAACCTGGCAAGTGGCCTTAGTGAGAGGAAGGGCACAGTGAGGTGGGCTTCCCAGAGCACAAATGTCCAAGGCAGTAGGGATGAAGGCACAGTCAGAGCTCAGGAGTCCACAGGGACAGCAGGACAGTCCCCACTACAGCTTTCCGGGCTCCTCCGGGGACCTCAGTGGAAGAGCGTCATGCCAGAGGCTTCCCAAAGGCTGGGCTTCCTTTCCTCTTGGGCTGCTGGCTGCTGTATGCCTGGGTCTTGAGCAGCTTCCTGGGCTGTCCTGGACTGCAGCAGATGCTTGGGGCCTGGATCTGTGCAGCTCTATCGATGATGCCTGCATCTCCTGGCTGGTTTGGGGCCAGTGGTGCTCTGCTGACCTGTTGGAGACCAGATACCATGAGATAGGAGTAGACGGTGAGGTGGCAAATTGCAGGCCCTGCAGTCTCAAGCTCTGCCTAAACTTTTCTCGGGAACAGAGGCACAGTATCCTCTTCCAGGGCTGCTTTGATGAAATAAACCCAGCCCCACCCTGGGGTTCTCCTGGAAGCCCATCTACCAGAGATAGGTTCCACCTGGCTCCCCATCACCCATTGACAATTGCTTCTGTCTCTTTGCTTTCTTCCTTGCCACAGTTCACCCCGACAGCTATCCAGGGGTCGAAAGATCTCCTGATACTGACCTCAGCCTCTGCGGCGCCTTGAGCTGCCTGGAGCTCCTCTGTGGAGTGGGCCGTCGGGTCGTGCACGTGCGACTCTCGCCGGCGTTTCTGTCCCCTGGCTACCGTGGGCGTGGGTCGGCCTTGGGTGGAAACCCACGGCAGAGGCTGGCGTTCGTGGGAATGTTCCTCTCCGCGGCCCTGGCAGGAATGGCGGCACAGTGCCTCGAAATTATCCAGCGCCCAGGCCCAAGCCTGCTCCGGGCTCAAGCCTGGTGGCATGAGAGGCTCTGGATGCGCCCACCCGGGGCTGGGTTCTCCCAAGGCTGAGGGAATCCACGCCATAGCTTCAGCTTCGTCAGCGGGCCAAGGAGGAAGGGAGACTGAGTCTGCTGCTCGCTGCGCCTTCTTATAGCCTCGCTGCTTCAGTCCACACCCTAGGGCGTGGAGACTCCTGCTGGGGCTTCAGCCCACACCCTAGGGCGTGGGGACTCCTGCTGGGGCTTCAGCCCACACCCTAGGGCCTGGGGACTCCTGCTCCTTCTGCTGCCTATTGGCTCAGTGACTCATGGCACTTGAGCAAAAACTCCATTCTTCTGGATATGCCTTGGACCCTCCTTGGACTGTCATGGACTCATGCAAGGGAAAGGAGGGTGGCTTAGCACCAAGTATCCACTTCAGTGGCATCTTTCCTTCCCTACTGAACATCTTCCTCTGATAGATTCACATAGATTCACTACATTATTCCGTGTCATTCTCCTCCCATGTCTGAGAGAGGGTCTCTGGCTTCAGACGTGACTCTCAGCGAGGCTGGATCCTGCTCTAAGATCACACGTTACTTTATGGTGGAGTATATGGACAATTAAGCTCATCTCTTCTCTGTCTTTTCTCTCTTCCCCTCCCTCCACCCTCCTCCCCTTCCCACCCTTCCCTTCCCTCTCCTCCTCTCCTCTCCCCTTCCCTTCCCTTCCTTTCTGATGGTTCTCACTATAAAGTCCAGCCTGATCTCCTTAGAGCTTGGATTACAGGGATTGCCTACCATACCCTACTTGCCAATCCCTGTGTGTGTTAGTTACTGTTCTCTGGTTGCTGAGACAAAATACGTACACCCAAAATTAAAAGGGCAGGGGTTTATTTAGCTTACAGTTGGTCGAAGTTTCAGTCCATAATCAGCAGACTCTGTGGCAGGGATGACAAAGAGGCATGGGGGAGCAGGAACAACACGGTACACACAAGGCAGCAAAGGTAACAAGAGAGAGTTAACAGCATCTTTCTGCCCCTGTTATCATACTCAGACTATGGGGATTAGGGTGGTGCCAAAATAATGGCTCAAGTGTAGTGTAGTGGTTTAGTAATCACACACCCTTAACCCCCGCATCACACATTCCAGATTAAACGACCTCTGCAAAAGAAAGTCCCACCTCATTGGCATGAGGCTTTGGGAGGACATCTAAACACAAACCATGACACTAGGGTTCCTTTTTGGTTTTTCTTGTTTTGTGAAACAACAGTCTGGCTGTGTATTTCAGGCTTGCATTGAACTCTGGCAATCCTCCTGCCTCAGCCTGGTGCAGGCTGGAATTACAAGTGTTCATCACCATGCTTGGTGAATGCAGGTTTTTACGCATACATCCCGGTTATGGTTTGTATCTAGTTTCCCCTAAAGCTTCCTGTGGTCATAGCAAGGTCTTTTTCAGAAGTGGTCTGATCTCGAGTGTTTGATGCTGGAATCGATTCACGGTGCAATGCGAGGTTTAAGGGCAATTGGTTTGGGGGTGAGTGCTACCCACCCTAAGTAGTCTGTGTAAAGTAAAGGAAAGAAAGATGCTCTTAAATTTCATTGCTGCTGGCTTCTGTGCACCATGAGTTCTTCCCCTCTGCCAAGCCATCTTGCATTAGAGTCAGGGAATCATGGACTGAAAGCTTTACAAACTCTCAGCTAAATAAACCTCTCCTCCTTTAACTCTGGGTGCCAGGCATACTCACCAAGGAGAATCAATAAGAAAAAAATGATAAGGGGGAAAAGGAATAAGTCATCACTCGGCTGAGTTGAGTAAAGGAGACTCTTGGGCTTCTTGAGTATTATAACTTCTCTGTCTCTCTCTGTTTTCCTTGCTTTCTTTTTTGTGTTTTTCTTTCTTTATCTATTTTCCTCTATCTCATCCCCCATTCTCTTTTTCCCCACTCGTCTCCTTTTTTCCAAAATTGATCACTGTGTAGTTCAGTTTGGCCTCGACCTCAATACATAGACCAAGCTGGCTTCTAACTTCACCTGGCTCAGCCTCCCTGGGGCCAGGAATACAGGCAGGTGCACCCAGCCAGCTCCAAGAGTACATATCCATGTCTGGCCATTGAATCTGCCTCCTTCTCCTGACAATGAACCCTGAGGACCATTTTCAGGCTATGTCTTGATGTTTATTCTCTGCTCTCCCCCCCTAGAAGTGTGCATCAGTTTTTTCAAAAAACTGAGGGAAACGGCCACCCAATGGTTCCTTTTTACTCTCACTCTGCACAGCTC